ATTGGCATTAAAAGTGAGGTCAGAGTTATCCTAAGCAGAAGTGCATTCCTTTTCTATTATTTTCTCTCTCTCTCTCATCACATTCAGATACATCCAGCAATTCCTTTGCCATCAAGCTCGGATTCCTGATCCGCAATATAACCTTACCAAAGGATGCTCAACTCAGGAATAAGACTCATGGCCTGACTCAGGACTGTGTCAATAAATTGGTAAGACTACCGATTATTATTATTAGAATCATTAGGGAATGCAGGGCTTTCTTGTGGCTCTCATGCGGTTTATGGTGGCCACCAGTTGTTCAGTTAAGGAAAGTGGTTCTTTGTTGGCAAACCAGTTTTGCTGAAGGAACACCAGAAACATGATCGTGTTGTTGTATGCACCAGTCAGTAGAAGAATGCAGCTGTACCTCCATTCAACTTTGGAGACAGTCAGCGTTCCACTGACAAAATGACAGTTGTGAAGATATCACTCCTTTGGGCCACATTGGTTTCATCTCTGCCCTTTATTTGTCTCCCCTCTGTCATTCACACTCCAGCTCAACATGATACTAAGAGATCCATCAGCACTGCCTGTGGTCTTCCCTCTAGCAAACTTCACGTAAGTCATGAACCTATTATTGCTGCTTACATCAAAGTGAGAAATGCTTCTTAAGGTAAATCATGAAACTAACGTATGACAGTTTCCTTTGGAATATTTTGTATCCAATTATTTCAGCCATGTGTTATGGAAATGCAAGTTGCTTTTGGATTCTGCTGATTTCTTGACCTCCACAGGGATACAACCAACGAGACAATTGCTCGTATTGACTACAAAGTGCAGGAGGGAAATATTGATAAACCAAGCCCTTTCCTTTCTGACATCCTGAAACTCTGTGGTATGCATCACATAGCATCGTTATCGCAAAACTCATAACCTGCCTTGTTTACTGTGCCACCCATACCTATTTACTAGTCATGTAGGCTTATTCAAGATGAGCTAATAATAACATATCNATCGCAAAACTCATAACCTGCCTTGTTTACTGTGCCACCCATACCTATTTACTAGTCATGTAGGCTTATTCAAGATGAGCTAATAATAACATATCGTAGCTTTCAGTTCAGCTTACTTCTTTTGCAGCTGTTACTTGTAGTATTTTATACCTTTAAGTATTTCTTGAACATGTTCGTCTTGAAAACTGACTGAAGTAAATTTTTTCATTAATGAATCACTGTTGCTCCCCCGAACCAATAGGTCCTTCAATAACTAACAGCACGATGGCAACAGCTCTACTCAGCCAACCCCCCACTACGACCAGTGTTACGACAGCTACAACCACGTATGTTCAGAATTTATGTTCAGTATTTTCAGAATTTAAAAATGTTAGCCTCAGGGCTTCCTTTTGTTGTGGTTGCTTTTAGACAAAACAATAGCACCTTGGATGTCACAGCTTCTCCTCTCTTTCTTTCAGTTTGGGATCTGCACTGATCTCCATTCGGCTGGTTTTCATAACGTCAACGTTAGCCCCCAGTCAGAGCGACATTCTCAGTATCGTTGATAAATTTCTGTCACCACAACTGAAGTTTGCTTCTAAAAGTCCGCGTGACCCCGTCAGCATCCAGAATGCAGTGTTTGAACGTGAGCTCCATGCTGTTTTCTCTCTCTTTTTGCCCTATTA